AGCGACGCAAATCAGCTACTGGAATCTGGCCAATTCACACTGGGAGCCGTGTGAGTGGGACCGTTTGGTGTTGCATCTCCTTTCTTACCTTGGCTGACCTACCAATGCCCGCTAGTGATTGACCCCTGGACATTCACGACTTCTGTCACGAGATCTGCGAGCACCGGAATCGGCATCACGCTCTCCTCGAGGGAGCGCTTGGACTTGAATCTCACGGCGACTTTCGCAGAGCTGGCCATCACTACAGCCAACGCTTGGACCCAACAGGGCGAGTTCGTGCTCAAGAAGGAACGCGGCAGCTATGCCCCCTACCGGATCAACAACAGAACCGGGTCGTCGATCTTCATTTGGCCCGATGTTGATGGAAGTACGAGCGCAAAGGATGTTGCCGCAGTCAAGATTCCAAACGACGAGACCGTCGATTGGCGGTTCGATGACTGGAAGACGATGCGAGAGGTATGATCATGTGACCGTGTTTGATGGCACGCCGCTGATTGACATCACCCAGCACATGACGTCGTCGGGACAACACAGCGTTGGGCTGCAGTTCGACGGCAAGCCGTGGGAGCAGTTGCGGAGCATCCCGGTCGACAAAGAGGGGGAGTACATTTTCAGTCTCCGGCCACGAACGGAGAAGTTCCCGAACCGGCTTCTGGTCGAAGTCAAGGTCCAGGACACGGTCAAAGTGGTCACGTTCCGATCCACGTACAAGATCGAGAACTTGACGCTGTATCCGATTGAGATCACGCTGGTCGACAATGCCGGACATCCGACCCAGTCGCTCGAGAAGCTGGCACCGGGAGACCACTTTTCGCTCCCCATCGAGGCCGTGACGACGAATCGGGTGCGGATTCAGCCCGACCGTGAGTGGCTTGCGCGTGTTGTGTTGTTGTGTATGTCTTGATGGGCCATTAGAGGGATTCGGATACAAGTGGAGCTCTCCCATTTACTGGGAAGATCTCCTCGCCAAGCGCAACTTCACGATCAAGTGTGCGCACGCAAACCCGACCGAAGCTGCGTTCCGATTCCAGGCATGGGTTCAGACCGACGAGGGCAATTCTCGGTGCGTGAATGTGGGCTCAAGCCCGTAGAGACGCTCTTTGCTGACCCGAGTAAAGGAAACACCCGAAGATCAATCTCAAGCTGCGGGCGCCTATCGAACTGGAGAATCTCCTGCCCTACAATCTGGAGTACCGCATCTATGACAAGGACACGGATCAGAATTGGCGGAGCTACCTCCGGAAGGGCGGGATCATGCCCGTGCACTCTGTCGAACTCAGCCATCTCGTCCTGCTCAACGTCGAGGTGCAAGACACTGGTCTGTGATACTCTACAATCACTCTATGATGTGCTGACGACACGGCAGTCTTCCGGCCGAGTGATTTCGCGATCATCAACACGAACCATCACTCGGACTTTGACATCGAGGGCCGACTGACCCTGCGGGACGCGAATGACAGGAAGCTCGACCTCAGACTGAATTATTTGCGCTATCCCGACTCGGGCGGTGCTTTCAAGGTACAGATCTACAGCCCGTATGTCGTGGTGAACAAGATGGGGCTTCCGTTTGGTGTCCGGTCTCGGGCTGGCCGCACTGGGTCTCCGCAGGATGTCGCTGGCGAAACTCGTTCAGGTCAGTGTCCTTTTTTGTCGATAATCTGTTGATCTGACGGGTATGTTGCAGAGATACTCGCACAGCCGCAACCGTTTTGTGCGTAGGATGGGTTTTGTTGAAAGGGCGTTAGTGACATTGGCTGCAGTGCTTTCTCACCCGAACGACAATGGCCACGACTATGTGTTCCGTGTGGGAGATTCTGTGTGGTCGAAGGTGCTGAGCTTCGAGGCTCCGTCTGCAGAAACCCAGCTAGCCGTTGCCTCGCAGAAGCAGAGAGCAGACGAGATTCTGATTGGGGTGTCCTGGACGGAGGGCCTGGGCAAGTACAAGCTGACCAAGGTCATCACGCTCGCACCGCGGTTCCTGATCAAGAACAATCTAACGGAAGCCATCTCGTTCCGGGAGCACGGAGTCGCGCCCAGAGAACGATCCATCATCAAGGCCGGGGAGCGCTGTCCGCTGGAATACCTCCGGGCATCGCAGGAGCGGCTGCTCACGATTGCGTTCTCCGGGCTGAACGCTCAGTGGTCGCCGCCGGTCCGGATCGAGGACATCGGGTCTGTGCACTTCCGACTGCGCTCTCCGACGACGGACGCCGTGCAGCTGATCCGTGGAGAAGTCAAAATCGATGGCTCGACGTTCTTTGTCTCTTTCTCTCGAGAGACCGACGGCTGGCCATTCCTGATCGAGAACGACAGCGACTACACTGTGACTGTCACCCAGAGGGTTCGGTCGCTTTCCGCCTGGTGTGACATTGGAGGCTGATCTTTTTCTCCCTCTCCACACAGGATTCGACGGAAACAGAAGGCAACAAAGCGAATCCGGTGTACACCATCAAGTCGCGGACAGGGCTGGACTATGCGTGGGACTCTCCCGCTGCTCTCGACAAGAAGATTTTGCTCTCGATCAACGGATTCAGACGCGTGATTGACGTGATGGAGATTGGAGATCTCGTCCCATTCAAGTTCAATGTACGTCTCTCCTCCGGCTCACTGGCGGAACACGGACGGGTGCTGAGGGCAGCGTTACAGGACAACCAGAAAAGCCGGATCGTGTCGTTGGACGTGCGGGCGGACGGGCCGAGGCAGGTGCTGCGGATCACGAACTACAACCCGGAAGTCAGTCTGTACAAGCCGAAACGCGCCAACTCGACGCCGCTGCAACGACAAGACACGATCTCGGGCAGCACGGAAGCGTTTGATGCGATCACGGAGGAGGCGCCGCCGAGCTTTGCGTTCACGGTGGACTTTGCGGGGATCGGGATATCGCTGATCAACAAGAAGATGGTCGAAGTCGTGTATGTGTCGCTGAACGCGCTCAAGTTTGAGTACACGGACAGCGCCGTGGCGCATGCGGTGACGCTGTCCTGCGGAACGCTGCAGATCGACAACCAGCTGCACGACGCGCTGTATCCGGTCATCATCCAGCCGACGCCTATTCCCAAGGGTAACAACGGGGGCACCGCCGCGCTTCCCACGGTGCAGGGCTCTGTCATCTGGCTGAAGGACCAGGGTGCGTGGTCTAGACGATGTGTGACCATCGCTGCTGACGGGACGCACAGCACATGGTGTTCTTTTCGTCAAGTACTGCTCGATCTTGCTGCAGGCGCTGACTGTCGAAGCCGACGAGGATCTCCTGTTCTCGATCTACGATCTCACTCAGATCAAGGGTGCCTCATGGGAGTCGGGCGTTTCCGAGTGCGTCAACTGAGCCTGCGAGAGTATATGCGAGGGGCTGATCACATCGCACAGTGTTTTGATCCAGCACGAGGGCGAGATCGAGGAGCCCAAGGACGTGCAGGTCGGGGAGGACTTGTATTTCGAGGTCCTTGAGCTCCAGCCGATCAAACTGTCGTTGTCATTCATGCGCACAGAGCGTGTTAGTGCAGAAGAGCAGTACGCGCCTTTAGTCTGCTGCTTCATGTTAACGAGTTGACACTATTTTTGAAGGCTGAGCATTCGGAATCCTCTCGCCGTGGTGATCAACGCGATTACAATGGCCGTGGGCAACATCAACGACGCGCCGCTGGAGATGAATGCGCTGGCCATCAAGGATATGCGTCTGACGATGCCGGAGCTGCAGACGCGCGTGGCATATCACTACCGACAGGACGTCCTGCGGCAGCTGTATCGCATCCTCGGCTCCGCCGACTTCATCGGGAACCCGGTCGGCCTGTTCACGAACGTGAGCTCTGGAGTAGCAGACATCTTCTACGAGCCGTTCAATGGGGTGGTCATGCACGGGAACAAGGAGCTCGGCATCGGTATCGCCAAGGGAGCAGCGAGCTTTGTGAAGAAGACGGTCTTTGGGGTCAGCGACAGCATGACCAAGTTCACCAGCAGTGTCGGCAAGGGTCTCTCGGCGGCGACGTTTGATTCGGAGTACCAGACACGGCGTAGACTGGCCCAGCGACGGAACAAACCACGGCATGCTATGTTTGTCGCGCTCCCAGTTTCTGTGTTTTGTATGCTGATCATCGTGTGACAGCTACGGGGTCACTGCAGGTGGTGAAGCACTGGCAAGCAGTGTCGCCAGTGCGATGGAAGGCGTCCTGGTATACCAAATAGTCGCGGCAGTCTCGCTCTTATTCTGATTACTCTTGTCCCAGATGAAGCCGATCGAGGGCGCCGAGTCCGAAGGCGCGTTTGGATTCTTCAAAGGCGTGGGCAAAGGCCTCGTGGGTGCGGTCACGAAGCCCGTCGTCGGCGTGTTCGACCTCGCCTCGAACGTCTCGGAAGGAATTCGAAACACCACGACCGTCTTCGACGGCCCTGAGCGCGACCGGGTGCGCCTTCCTCGCCATGTTCCCTCGGACGGCGTCCTGCGGGCAAGTGTTCAGACTCAGTGGCCTGATCTGTCGGTGCTGATATCGGTTTCTTAGCCTTACGACGCTCGAGCAGCAATGGGACAGTACTGGCTGCGTGACCTCGACAACGGAACGTACCGGCAGGAAGTCTACGTCGCCCATATCAGTAAGCCACTCTTGCCTGCGTTTTCCTGCACTCCCATTTATATCATTTCTCCCACCAAGACACCCCTGGATCCGACAACGTAGTCCTACTGACGACATCGCGGGTGCTCTCGTTCTGGTCCAAACGCCTGCGCCTCGAGTGGGAGCTGCCGTTCTCGCAGGTGCAAGGTGTGACCGTCGAGGACACGGGCATCCGGTTCGCCCACAAGCAAGGGCGGGACCAGGACAAATTCGTCTACATCCAGGACAAGTCGTCCCAGTCCTGGTTCTTCTCGCAGGTCGCCTCGGTGGTCAAGGCGTTCAACTCAAAAAAGAGACAAGATGTTTGAGCAGGTAGTGTCTGTGTGTGTATTTATGTCGTTGTTGTTGTTGTACTCGTGGAACATATGTATTGTAATCGCCAACTGCACAAACTCAGCGCCACTCGCCTTTCTTGCCACCGCGCACCGGGGACACAGCCGCTGCTGGGCGGGTGCGGGACTTGACGGGCGACACGAGCGGCTTGAACGAAGGTTTCTTGACTGCGCAGACCGTTGGAGGATAGACAAAGATCTGTGGCGGCGCAGAGTCCCTACCGGCTTGACTACTACTATCGTCCGACATCTGCAGGATTCTCTGCAGTGAGGACAGAGTCTGGTCGCCGGCTTTCGGGTCAGACGAGCTGCTGTTCTTCGTGCGGTTAGGGTCAAGGGCACGAAGCGGTCTACGAGTCGGAGATGAGTTTACACCAGTCTTCGGTGCAGGCGATTTCTTTGTTGGACTTGATGAGAGACACGCTGGAGACTTTGTTTGGGCCGCAGAGCGATGCCGACCAGGAGGAATGTTGCCGTTCTTGAGTGACTTGAGCAGATCGTCCACTTGCGTCGGACGTGCATCGTGTTCCTTGCGAGTATCGTCCAGTGGGCCATACTCGCTATCTCTTGCGGCAGCAGCAGTCAAGATCTGCGCCCAGCCCGAACCGCGCCGCGCCGCCGCGCTCCGCACCGCGTCAACCAGCACAGACTCAAACTCCCTGCCCTCCCTCACCTCGCTGTACGCGCGCTCCAGCACCGGCTCGTGCCGCCCCACCTCGACCATCAGCCCGACGAACCTCTTCAGGCAGCCCACCTCCCGCTCGAGCCCGCAGATGACCGCGCGCAGCTCGCGCATCGCGAGCAGCCCCGCGTAGTACTCGCTCGAGAAGTACGTCATGCTCGCGCTCAGCAGCGCCGTGTCCGTCGCGGCCGACGCCGCGCGCTGCTGCAGGCGCTCGTTCGTCGACTCGAGGTGCGCGAGGCGCTCCTTGATCGCCGCGAGCTTGAGCACCGGCTGCGTGAGGCGGGTCTTGGGGTGCCCGATGTGCTCCTTTGGCTCGCCGAGGACGATTTCGGGCGAGCAGGGCGGCGGCGGGGCGGAGCTGGAGGTGGAGGAGTCGCGGTCGGGGCGGGGCCGCCGGATCTGGTACTGTTGTTGTGGTTGTTTCTGTTGCTGATTCGATGTTGCCGCAGGGACATCGAGCGAGATGGGAGATGCAAGTAGGCTGGGCTTGAAGCGTTGGGGCGTGCGATAGCGCGCGCAGTCTTCATCTTCCTCGACGATAGGGATAGTACGCTCGAGGAGCAGGGGTAGATCGCCGAGAAGACGCGTTTTTGAGGCAGGGGCAAAGCTGGCGAATGGCTCTGAGTTGTGTCTTCTGTGCGTGCGTGGATATGCAGAGCGAGGAGCTCCAAATTCGCGAGGTTGTGTGAGAAGATTGAACGAGCGTGGGGGTTTCGTTTCAGAGACGAACGAGAGACGAGTAAAGACAGACATGATGAGAGATGTGAGGAGCAAGGGTGCGCTACGGGATCAAAACTCTGTAGCGATCAAGTTCATGCAACTTGCCCACCCGCCATGCGTGTAGAGAGCATCTCTTGCTTGGAGAAGGCAGAGTCAGATGATTGATAGATATTGACTTCGCAGACACTGTATTGGGGCATCGAAGCAGGGTTAGCGAACCCATTTTTCGTTGAACTTCATTCGGGCGTACTAGCCTCAACTAAGAAGTTAGCACAAAGTAAATTTGGCCCAATATGGTCGTGTCAGATTGAGGCACGTGACTTGAGTCCCTACACAAGGCACGTGATGTAGCTCTACTACCGATCAAACTTGGGCTCAGGTTGCCATTCGACCATTTGCCCGAAAATACCGACGTCTCAGCTGTCGGAGCGACAAAGGGCTCGAAGGGTTTCTCTCTCAGGGAAGTCCATTATTGGTTTTGTTCTCTATCGCTACAATAGTCCATCGAGTGCTCTACATTGTCCGGTTGCGCAGCACTCCAGCCACTTCAGAACCAAAGGATACGTGCCCGACGACGGGCAGCACTCGATTGAATCGGGACGGTAGCCCCGAGTGCGGTGGCGGGAGTGCCAGCGACGGCAGACGACACCACGGTCACCATCTTCGAAGGGACCGCAGCGGCCGCAGACACTCCGCCTTGCGCATTAGCGGCTGTGGCGGGTGCCGCCGGCTGGCTCGAGACCGCTGCCGCTGTGGTGACCGCGACTGGGCTTGGTTGGACGGCAGGCGCAGTCGCGACAACGGCCGCGGTTGTCTGAGCGGCAGGAGCAGTCGCGACAACAGCGGTCGGCTGGGCCGCGATCTGGCTTGAAGTTGTCTGCGCTGCAGCAGCCATGACCACATCCACACCTGATCCAGAGAGAATCAAACGACTATACTGCGGCATAGTCCCCCAAACAACTCACAGTAGTAGTAGTTCTGACTGAAATCCGGAGTCGCCCAGAAGAGCTGCACGACACAGTCTCCAGGGGACTGGCACTTGTTGCCAATGGTGCTAGCATCGGGAAGACGGTATTGCAGGTTCGTTTCTGCCGTGGTTGATAGCAATTTCAGCTACGATTCTTATCCGAGAAGTGGTGTTACACGCACGATCCGTAGGAGTGGGTCCGGATGTCGGGCAAAAGTTGTCGAACGTGCTCAAAAATCCACCGATGATCTGCCCGGATCCGCCAGTCGTCGTGTCAACCAATGAGACGTTCGCAGGGCCGCCGTGTGGGATGGTGCAGTCGACCTGCATGGACATGGCCTGCGATGCTGCAGGTTATGTAAGGGACGGCATCCCATAGACTATCTTCGCGAATGCTTACGGTTCACTTGCTGCACATTACCGGCCGGCTGATCTTGCAAGAGCTGAAACATGTTTCGATGAGGGGGAGAATGGACGCAAGTCAAGTCACCAACCATGCCACGACAGAGCGTGAGATCGCATCCCGCATTCACTGGTTCTTGCTCCTCGATGTGCCCCGTTGGGTCGCCCGTCACTGACTTGAACGATGCCTGGCCACACTTCTGCAAGAACGCGTTCCCAGGCTATGAATTTGAAAAGACTTGAGTATGTGTGGAACCTTGGAACACAGCAAGCAGCTCACTGCACGGATGGGAGGATTCGTTGTTACGCGGGCATGGCCCAGAACGTGGGGAAGTGCAGAAAGCAGCAACAGAGAAGCAGCAATGAGAACCATGGTCGAGAAGAAATAAAGAATGAAGGCAAGACTAGCTCGCGAGGAAATACAAGAGAAAGAGAAAGCGGTGTGAGAGTCTCAGTCTAGAGACGGTGGAGTGATCAGCTTAGTAGCGGCGCCTGACGTCTCGCGATCAGTGCAACGCCATCAATTTGGATGCTCATGCACCCGGCGCCGCCGAGCTGTGTGTTGGCAGAGAGTCAGACAGCGCGAACGAGAGATGAACGAAACCATGTCCTCCAGGCAAGGTATACAGACGCAGTCATCAGAATTGATGTTGATGCCATTTTCAGGGTCTGGAGCCGTTGGGCTCAAAGTCCAGCCAGATACAACGTGAATTCCTGAGAACTAAAGTACATGCATATATTTTACAGTGACAATCCCTGGTTTAGTCCATTTCTTCGATTTCGATGTCGTCATCCTCGTCCAAGTCGACGTCCATTGGATCGGCAGTTCCTTCGTGATTTGGTTGGACGAGAAGCCTGTTGCTCGGCCCGTCGAAGCGGACCCGCACCAGCTCCCCATCGCGCACCCTGTCTGCAAGAATCTGCATAGACAGCGGGTGCAGCAACTCGCTTTGAATTGCCCGGTTCAGTGGCCGAGCGCCGTACTGCGGCGACCAGCCCACAGAAACCAAGTATTCCTTGGCTGAAGTGTCCACATCAAGCGTGATCTTGCGATCAGCCAGCCGTTGCTCGACCTCCTTCAATCGGATGTCCACAATCTTCAGCACATTCCTGCGCGAAAGAGCACGCTAAAACAGCCGTCAGCAGACTGTCAATGCGACACAAGACATAGTCAACTCACGAAAATGACGATCTCATCGATTCGGTTAATAAACTCCGGCGGCCAGTGGCCTTGAATGGCGCCCATGACCAACGACTTGGTTTGGGGTGTAATCGGCCCATCTCCGCTGTCGAAGATGTGCGACGATCCCAGGTTGGACGTGAGAATCAAAACCGTGTTTCGGAAGTCAACTAGCCGGCCTTGTCCGTCCGTCAGGCGGCCGTCATCGAGCACTTGCAAAAACAGGGTGATGAATTCTGTGCACAAGTTAGAATATGGTGAGGACAGTCGGATAAGCAAGACCCACCTCTGCACGCTTTCTCCACCTCGTCGATTAGCACAATGCTGTATGGCTTGCGGCGGATGTATTCCGTAAGTTGTCCGCCAGCGTCATAACCGACATAGCCCGGTGGGGATCCAATGAGCCGAGAGATGCTATGCTTCTCAGAGTACTCAGATCCGTCGATACGGATCATCGCATCCGGAGAATCGAACATTAGGGTTGCCAACTGAAATGAAGTCAACATCGGGCGAAACCTGACAGATTGACCAGAAGCTTACAGTCTTCGCCAAGAGAGTTTTACCTGTCCCCGACGGACCGGCCAACAAGAAGCTGGCAATGGGGCGTTGAGGGTTGGTCAGACCACTCCTCGACAGACGGATTGCGTTCGCGACGGCTTTGACGGCATCGGGTTGTCCAACAACATTCTCCGCCAAAATCTTCTCCATGCGAAGCAGTTTCTCCTTCTCCGATGACATGAGACGGGTCACGGGAATAGAAGTCCACCGAGCCACAATCTCCGCAATCTGGTCTGATGTGACTGTGTCAGACGTGTCCCCACCAGCGGCATCTTCGGCGGCCTTGCGGGCCTCCAGCTCGACCAGTCGGTTCTGCAGGTCAGGCAGAGCGTAGTATCGGATGTCGGATGCAGTAGCGAGATCATGCCTAGTAATGAGCTTTTAACAAAGAAAAAACATGCACATGAGAAACGCGTACCTCCGCTCGGCTTCCTCAGCTTTGGCTTTGAGCTCGTCCATTCTACGACGAACGTCGCTGATGTCATCACCACGACGCTTTTCATTCTCGAACGCAGCCTTCAGTGGTTGGAGTTTATCATCGACGTCGGCGATAGCCTTTCGTGCGAGGTGTAGACGTTCTTTGCTGGCGTCATCTTTCTCTCGCTCAAGAGCATGGATCTCGACTTCCAGTTCGAGTTTCTTGCGCTGGAGTTTATCGATTTCCTCGGGTTCAGTCTCTCGGGTCACTCGAACACTGTTAAGGAAGTCAGAATAGATCGTGTCTGATATGAACGAACCAACTCACGATGCACAAGCTTCATCCACCAAGTCGATGGCGGCATCGGGTAGTCGCCGAGAAGTGAGGTAACGATGCGCAAGGGTTGCTGCTGAAATCAAAGCCCCGTCGTGGATGCGAACACCGTGATGCACTTCGTACTTCTCCCGGATTCCACGCAGAATGCTGATTGTCTCCGAGACAGAGGGTTCGTTGACGATGACTTGAGCGAATCGCCGCTCCAGAGCAGCGTCCGTCTCAATGTATTTGCGATACTCGGCCAAAGTAGTCGCACCGATGCTGCCGGACTGTGTTAGTGAAAGTCGTGGGGTCAGATCCATTCAATCACTCACCATCTCAGTTTACCACGAGCTAGAAGAGGCTTGAAAAGGTTGGCTGCGTCCATTCCTCCACCCTCGCCACCGCGACCAGCCATAATCAAGTGCAGTTCATCGATGAACAGAATGACCCCGGGGCCACCATCCTCCGAGGCCTTCTCGACTTCGTTTAAAACTGACTTTATTCTCTCCTCATATTCGCCTGATTGTTTGTCAGTTACTTATCATAGAGTAGAGATGGGATATCATACATACCTTTGTACTTGGCACCGGCCATCAATGCACCCATATCCAGTGAGTACAGACGCGCAATGAGGCTCGCAGGAACATCGCGTTTGACAATCCGCTGGGCGAGTCCTTCCGCAATGCTGGTCTTCCCCACACCAGGCTCACCGATCAGCACAGGGTTGTTCTTCGTCCGCCGGCACAGAATGCGAATAGCGCGCCTAATCTCGTTGTCGCGACCGATGACTGGATCAATCTTCCCCTCCTCGGCCAAGGCAGTCAAGTCCACGGCGTACTTCTGGAGCGCGTCGAATCCTTGCTCGGCCGTTTTCGACTCGACGCGTCGGTTGCCGCGGATCTGCTCGATAGCGGTCTTGAGAGTCGCCTCGGTCAGACTTGCCTCCTTCAGAACGGCTGCGACGGTGGCGTCCTTGAGCAGAGCGAGAAGCAGATGGTCTTGGGCGATGTACGAATCGTGCATCTGCTTCTGGAGTCCTTGAGCCTCCCGAAGCACTTTGGAAAGCGGGCCACTGATGGATGTTTCTTCGGGTGGCGGGCTTTGGGTCGGAAGGCGGACAATAGCTTTTTGGATGGCGCGTTTGGCGATGGTCTGGATCAAGGATGAGCGCCGCATCTAATGACATGAAA